TTAATTGATATTGTTTCTAAAACAATGAACATTTATGAAATACCATTATTTCAAGTAGTTATTTCATATAATTATTTTAAATAATCATTAATTAAACGATATGTTGTTTTAAATAATAATTATTTTAATAAAAAACTTATAATAAAATCAAGTATGCAAAAGAAAAATCAAATGGAAAAAATCTTTTTCGCCTTTCTTTCGAGTTCATGACGCAACCGTATGCGTCAACCGCCGAAGAATAGATCTAGAATAGAAAATCCTCAATGATTCATACGTCTCGAATGTGTTAATATTTAAATTAAATTTATTAATTTAATAAAAAATAATAATTTAATAATATCTTAATGATATCTTTTATTTTTGACAACATCTAATTTTTTTTTTTTATTGTCGTTACTAAAACAAGATTTCAATCGAGAGTGTTTGAAAAATTATTTTTATCAATTTTATTCAATATATACTTTGATTATTTGGCAGGATGTACTACCTAACTTCAATATTTTAAATATCTTGCTTATTTATTTCTCATTATTTGGTTCGAAGTTGGATATTATGATAAACAAGAAATTTTCTTAATTTTAATATTTTTTAAGATTTCAAAATCAATATTTTTTTTAAATAAGACTACGTATAAATTTATTAAATAAATTTTATTATTAAATTTTGGTATTAAATACTTATTAATCTTTTTTATCTCATTTTTATAATAAGTTAAAAAAGATTATATAATCATCAAAATTGGAAAATTATAATTCAATAACGATAGAACAGATGTTTTAAATGCAATTTAATCAAAAATTAATTGTATCCCATTTGCTAATATACTAGAATGCATTTTATCATTTTTTTTCCTCCGATTCAGCATTTTTTATATTTGAACTTAATACTTTGACAAAATCATTAACAGAATATACATTTACACATGTCTAAAAATAAAATCTTCAAAATAACACAAAAATCAATCACGTATTTTTATATTTATATATTTTTTTTATAGAAATAATAAAAATATTTTTTTTTTGCAATAATAGCATAATTTAAATATTTTATTAAAAAAAGATACTTTAAAATATCTCTTCCATAGAAACACTGGTAAAAAAAATTGCTAATTGCGCTTCTTTCCATCAAAATTTCATAGGATTTGATATCCCCTTAAACAATATATATAAATTCTAATTTTTAAAAATATATTTTTGAAAATATTAACTATGATAATATTTTATTATAAAATAAAAACTTTTTATTTCGATCCCTGTTAATTTAACGTGTTAATTTTCTCTACAAAATGTAATTATAAATTTTTTATCGTCCAAACGTCATCTTTTTTGTAGCGAAACAGTAAAACAGATTATTTCTCGATAACAAATTGAAATATGTTATTATTATTCGTAATAAAAGTGAAATATATCCTTTTTTTTTCTTAAATATTATTTTTCATAAATAAGACATTACTTTTTGCACATCAAAATATTAGTAAGTATATCATCCATTTTCCGCTTCGTATACATATATGTACCATGGCTACAGTAACATTCTATCACTAGATCACGTATAGTCTCATGTTCGCATTCGTTCGATTTGTCACAATTGATATCCTTTGTGCGCTCGATTAAAATAGTTTCATTCACGATGTGTTGTAAGTTGATTATGTACAATAGAAAACGAATTTGGAATATTTCTTATATTTCGAGGTAAGACACATTACGAATTCTATTTATCTATTTTCTATGAAACGAAAGATTTTCGAACTTCCTTACGTTTGATCGCGAGCATGCGTATTAATTGTATATTTTACACTAGAAATTATATGTGCGCATGCGTGTAATAGTGAGTAAGGCCAAAGGTATACAGGCATTTTATACGTGTTACATGTCACGTTTCCTTTGTCGAAGTAGGATTTTAATTGAATGAAACGAAACAGAAACGATCTCCGTGAAACGATTGAAATGAAAGATTTTCGAACGACAAAGGATTTTCTTATGTTTAATCGCAAGTATGCGCATCAATTACATACTAGAAATTATGTGTGCGCATGCGCATAATGATGAGTAAGGCCAGGGATATACGGCGTTTTACACGCCGCGTGTTACATGTCACGTTTCCTCTAAAGTAGGATTTTAACTGAATAAGCATTTTACGAGTGTTTTATGGGTGTTTTATACGTTGCATTTTCTATATCAATTACATTTTTACTTCTCACTGCTGTGTAGTCAAATTAATAGTAAATACTGTATCGCATTGCTATCGTGTTTTATTTTCCGCGTGTGACACGTAACAGGCGACGTTTTACAAGTGTGTCAGAGTGTGTCAAAACGTGTTCTTCGCATGTATAGTCAGTTATATTAAAATATAATTTCTACTTCAGCGGGGAAAACGTGACGTGTAACATGGAGCGAAAACATGTATTTCTGACCTAAAAATTAGAGACTGATCGAAATTTGATTTTTAAATTTGCGAAATTGATCGTTTTTTAGAAATTTTCAAATTATATTATTTTGAAATTTACTTTTTAAAATTATTTGAAAAATAATTTATTTTTCGTACAATACAATACAGATATTGAAATATTATAATAATTCAGATAAAAAAAATTTTTATACGTATTTGCAATTAAATGAATTGTTATTTACTTTTAATAAATTTACTTTTGATAGAAATAACTATTTCATAATCCTTAACTACTGAAGAATGTTAAAAGTTACGCAATTATTATAAGAAATCTCACTGGATTTAGCTAATATTTAATGTGTTATTATGTATGGTATATAAATATGAAATAAAGATCAAATTCAATTGTTCTTATTTTGTATATTAATAAGAAAAAATCCAAGTTGAAAAATTGGATTATAAAATATTTAATATTATAATAGTATAATTTAATATTTAAAAATTTAATATTTATAATTATTTATAATTATTATTTATATCTTTTTAATCATAACTAATTAATTATGATTAATTTAATTGAAGTTGATTTCTGTTTTCTTTTTAATAATCTTGTAAATTTTTTTTCACAAAATGTACGAAAAGAAAATTAATAATATTCAATTTTGAATAAAAATAAATATGAAAAAGATAAATAAAATTATAAGTAGAAAATCAGATTTTATTTTTATTTTCAGCAAAGAAAATATAAAAAGAAAACTATTAATTGATACTCAATTTATAATAAAAATAAAAAAGAATTTGTATTAATCTTTTTTCGATAAAACGTTTTAGATTATTTAGAACAATGACAAAACAGTAGAAGTAAATGAAAAAAGTGACATTATTAATAATAGAAAATATATAAACCAATAATTTCATTAATTAAACGAACTTTATTAATCGAACGTATTTCATCAATCGATTATTCTAAATATTATTTAAAAATAAATTTTGAACGAAGCAATAAACTTTATTCTCTCAATTTGTTAGTCACTTCAATAAATAAAGAATGTAACATCAAAATTGAAATATAATATTTATCTGATAATGAGTAATTTTTGAAATATATTATTTACCAAATAATAATTTCATTTGAAATAATTATTTTTAAATTATTATTTGAAATAAATTTTCCTGAATTTGAACTGAATTTTGTGAAATTTTGAAACATACGAAATCTAAAATAGTTGCTTTTTATTTTTTTTTTTTTCTCAAAAAATAAAAAAGAAGGTAAAAATAAAATACTAAGGTTTGATACATATTATATGACACTTAATATATACACACATGTAATAGTGAGCTCTACAACTATTTGAAACTGTGAAATGAAAATTATAATGATCTTTTTCATTTAAAATTATAATGATCTGTTTCTTTTTTAATGGAAGTTTCTTATTTGCGCTGCGAAAGGAAGTCTTTCCATGTGAATATTTCAACACTATTTATTCTAATTTATTTTACGATTTTCAAAGAATTGTAGAATGTTAAATTATTATATGATGATTTTAATTTTTGAATATTGATTGTAATTTAAAGTGTAATTTATGTGTTCTTTATTGTGTTCTTATGAATAAAATAAAATATAATTTCATAATAATATAAAGTATTTGAAATTTATTATATTTAAATAATAAAATGGACATCAATTATAGATTTAGATAATCAAAAATAAACTTGAAGAAAGAAAGAAAGAAAGAAAAAAAGGTAAAGATAAAGATAAAATTTGAAAATATAGACAACAACAAGTTTGTTAAAATTTATTGTGATCATGTAGAAAAAAATTTAGATATGTGATTATAAAAAAAGAAAATAAGTTATGATTGTGCTATTGCATTCTTTTGCAGACTTTCATATCATTGAAACTCTTCTCTTAAAGATTATTATCTGATATCACTATCTGAATTTTTATTTATCTAATTTTATATTAATTTAGAAGAATTATTATCTTTTTCTGAATATATATTTCTGTTTAATTTTCAAAAAATAATATTTTTTTTCGATTTTGTTCCAAATTAATAAAAATAATAATATTTTTAATATTTTTTTCTAATTTTTTATAAAGATCTTGAGTACATATAAACATCTCATGGCACAGGGATTGAAAATCACTATTCTATTCTACTTATTTAAAAAAAAATTCAATTCGACATTTTCAAATTTTCATATCTAGAAAAATAAAAAAATTGAAGAATCGATTATTTGAAAAAGTAAGATTATTTGAGCAACAAAAATGTATTAATAATAAAGAATAAGTAATAGATGTATAATACTTTTAGTCAAAAATAATAACAAAATACAAATATTTATATGTTAAAAAAAATAATAAATTCACCAAATCAATTAATAAATAACGAGCTGATAAATAAATTTTTTTTTTGTGAAATGAATTAAATAAGTTATTTAAATGCAAATAATAATTATGAATAATGAAAAAAAATGAAATAAAAAATTATGTAATTGCAAATATATATATATACATAAAATATATAAATATAACGTATAAAATTATCTAATTATATATAAAAATATATATAATATTTCGTAAATTACTCTTTCATTCTTTTTTTACATAGATTGGCTACCAAAGATGTGTTCGTGCATGGAGATTGATGGCTCATTCCTTGGTCAATCTGCGTGCAGTTACCACCGACTGAATCCAAAGAAGAATCTGTTCTGTTCTTTTGCCCGTGTTTGCACGTCAAAAAAATTCGCTCAACAATCAGACGAAAGCGAGGATGACGAAAAACAGGTAAATTATTTTATTTTACATATTATTTCATCATGTTTAAATGTTAATTACATATTTATTGGAAAAATGAGATGATTCTTATTTGAACTTAACTTAGAATTTGTTAAATGATTTTTAAATTGATGAATTTTTAATTCGATGTTCTTATTGATGATTCGATTCGTTTAACGTCATTTTTCTTGCAATTGTGAGATGGGTATTTAAGTACATATCAGTATTTCCCGATGAGTCACGATTAAGGAAAATATTATGGATTTTTTAAACAAAATATTTTTATTTCTCCATATGATACAGGATTTTATAATGAAATTGTGTTTCTTTGAAATATAAATATTTTGAATATACATGTTATAAATTAAATTACAAACATGTACAAAACATGAAGTGAAATATACTTAATAAAGTTAAAATTTAAATTAAATTATTATTTATAATATATATATATATATATATATACATGCATACGTATATATTATTTGATTTTTTTCGATTTTTGAATTAAAGCTATAACTTTAAAGAGAAAATTCGATTCAGATGTATAAAGGTAATTCAAAAATTAGAAATTATCAATCGAATTTTTGTCGATTGACTTCTAAGTCATCCTATTTATATCCAATTATATTTATTGTATATTCGAGTCATACAATCCCACTGTTCATAGTTCATATATTAAATTGTCTGATTCAAAAATATTAATTACACATTTTGGCGAGGAAATGTAAAATTTTTCAGAAAATGAAGTTAATAATTAATTTGAATTTTGAGTGATCCATTTAGTGGTATATTCATTAAAATTTTTTAAATATGAAACGAGCATCAAAATGTATTGTTCGTGTGTTGCGAACAAAGCGAGTGAAAATTGTTCATCTGAAAAATTATAATTAAATCTGGTAAATTTGATTGATTTTTAAAAATATATCATTAAGTCAAAAAGAGAAACATTGACATATGATCTGTATATAAATCAGTATTTTAATTAATAAAAAAAAAAATTAATCTTCTATCGTTGATCCATAGACGGAGGAACTGCGTATTTACTGTGATGATGACACTTCCTACGACATGATCGTCGAAATGAATCTTCGTGTGATCGATTTGTGCGAAATTCTTAAAAGGAAAAAGAACACTATTGAAATCGATTGGACGATTGTAGAAACCTGGCCAGAGCTAGAAATAGGTAAAAATTGATTTATGACAAAAATTTGTTTGTTTATTTATCTCATCGAGATAAACAATGCTCTTATTTTTATTTTAATTTTTAAAAAAATTCTATTCGAATACACCATTGCAAGATTCATTTAAAAACAAGGACAAAAGTTGCTATATAAAAATATCTGTGGTGATATGAATAAAATTCTGATTTTTTTTTTTTTTGTATATTTCTACTTTGCAAATTTTTGTATTTGTTTTAATCTCTAAAATTAATTTTCATGAATATTTCATATTTCATATTTTTTAAGCAAATAAAATATCTTTTCTTATGGAATAATTTATAGAAAAAAACTTATGAACATTTTATAATCTGTATATAATAAAAGTATAATAAAAGTATCATGAAAACAAGTTATTTTAGAATTTATATTAGAGAAGGTTCCATAACATAAATGAAACTATCAAATTATTAATTATTAGTTTTTTATTTAACAACATAATAATTTATATGATTTCATGTAGAAATATAAAATATATTGTTTAATATTGTTGTAATATTATGAGTATAGTATTCAATATTTGTTAGAATGAAAAACTTTTTTAATATTAATGAAAAAAATCTATTCTTTTAATAGAAAAATTTTATATTTTATAAGTTCCATCCAAAATAAAACTTTTATTTTCAAGAATTTTTTTTATCTATTCTCATTGAAACTTATAATATAAAAACTTTTTCTAAAAAGGTTCCATGTTACAAGTCCATGTTATAAGTATAACTTGATTAAAGTTTCACAATTGTTTCAAATTTTATTGATTTATTTATTATCATATAAAAAATTATGTAACTTTTCAAAAATCAAATTATTTTATAAAAGTTAATGAAAAATCTTTTTTATTATTAAAATAACAAAAAAGATCAAGACAAGTTAATTTGAGATGAAACGAATTAATTTGAATATGATTGTTAAAAGATTGTAAAAATAACAAAATAATTGAAATTATAAAGCTATATAAAATATAAAAATAAAATAAAATAGAAATAAAAATCCAAATTACAGAGCGTACATTGGAAGATCACGAAGACATTTTGGCTGTGCATAGAGAGATGAAAACATTTTCTGTTAAACGATCACGAAAATTTTTTTTCCGTCAGGATTATTTTAAGTACCAGTTTTTCCATGATCCAAAGGTGAGTATCTGGATCAAAACGTATTTGTTTTATTATTGTATTGTACAATAACTTGCATTAATACTCATATTATGTGGTAAAGATTATTATTTTATATTTTATATTTATTTATCATAATTTTATTAAATTGATTGTTTTTTTTCTTTGAATATTATATATTTGAACATATATTATTCATTTATAATATGCAATACATTTTACATATAATAAGCAATAAATTAAATAAATGAAGAAATGTAACATCGCAGAAGTAGTATAACAGTTCATTCCTTGTCATTGTTTTCAGTTCATTTTATCGCCATGTAATATATAAACATAAATATAAGATTTACGTAAGTTGATCACTGTCTGAATATCTTCTAGCGATGATAACTTTCATCGTTATTTAATGTACGATGCTTATTGTACGAAAGATTATATGCATTAAATAAATAAAATATTAAATATTATATTACAATAATTTGTCCTAATTTGTTAAAAAACAATCAATTTCATAATATTATTATAAACAAATGTATAGAATAATAATCTCTCGTGTAATCATATTATCCAAATATTAATTAGTTATTGTAAATAACTAAAATTTAATTCGAATATAAATTCGTATCAACGATTTCATATCATTCTCTTTTACGTCAGTATAATGTAGCCAAGATAACTAATAATTAATTGATTAGTCTACACGGAAACGATAAAAACTCGCATTCGTCGAATTACCGGGATGATTACGAAATTTTCGTGCACATTATCATGAATTCGGTTGGTAATTTGATTATATTTTCAAGAATACCAGCCTACTTTATCGACTGCGATCCAAGAATCGTTCTTACCGATTGATATAAAACACCAATACGCGGCGTATATCGAGAGTGCATATGGTTTCGCTCTCGTGCAACGTTTCTGTAATTCGCGTGAATCCATTATCGTGACGCGTTTACCTTGAATTCATTTTCAAAGAATATAAAGAAGAGTCGCGCGTTTCAGCTATTCTCTCCCACTGAGATGATCAAGATTCCAGCCGTCTTTGCGGAAGACTGGGACGCCTTGAACGAAGCGGAAGCCACATTACAAGTGAGTGAAAAATCGATCGATTTTCAAGTCGGCACAACTTCGTGCCAACGACTTTTCAATCGTGAATTTGCTCGATCAGCGATTTCTTTCCGACATTTCAGAAATATCTTGAAGACGAAGGTGTAGAATGCCCAGAAGTATTCGGTTTAGCGTGGATACAGAACGGCCGTTTGGACGTTTGGAGAAGAATCCATTTGCTTCTTCGAGATCGAAAGCTTTACCAAACGAAAAAGGTAAGGTGGTTATCTTTTAAACGCAATACAGGAATGATTTTCATTCAATGATCGACAACATCATGAACCACAATTGCTAATTATCTTTTATCAAAATAATCTTGGTTAGTTGCAATTATTTTAGATTCATTTACTTCCTACATCATTTTATCTTTTACTTTCATTTCTATTTCTATGTAAAATACGTATATAAATAGAAAGTTGGAATGATTGAATTATTTAGATTTATAACCATGATTGAATTTTCCAAACGAATTCTCACGGGAAAATTTATAATTAAGTATATATTCCGATCAATGGAAATAGGTTAGTTTAACTTTTGGATTACGTTAGCTTTTAAGGTAACAATAACGGAAAAATGATCCGAGCATCGAAATATGACATTATTTGTGACACGCGATCAACACGCGATCTACATGCGATAGACACGCGACTCATACGCATTTATGGCTTTTATCCAATACCGAATAAGATCGATTGCAATCTTTTCATTGACGAACGCTTTTTGGTACATTTCGCGAAAAACATTTCACAAAATGCAGAGAGCTAGATACTTGTGCATATATATTGTGCAAATTTAATTATTATATGCTCGAGATTATCCTTTTCGAGTATATATTCACGAGAGTCAATTTTATTAATATAAATCTTAACCTAACCTAACATGGAATTGATAAAATAAATAATGTTATATTAAAACAATGGGACATAAATTTCTTTAAATGCTTCTTGATCTTTTATCTTTTATTAACTTTCATCTTTCATTTTTTTACGAGCATCATTATTGAAAAATATAAAATAAAGTTAGAATTTTATGTGTTTAGCAGCTATACACATATGTGACTCGTAGCCAATTTCAAACTGTGAGATTATACAAATAAATACTACATATACGTTATACACTCATCGTATGCAGATGCGATGGATATCTGAGAATATACGCCCCTTACGCATTAAGGCTGATTTACATTTAGATATTATGTTTAAACAAATTATTTTTATTATACATTATACGTTAAAAACAGAATCCTATTTTATTGTAAAATTCAGAATGTTATTCCCAGTCGATTTTAATTAAAATTCAGAAAAGAAAGAATCCAAAATCCAAATATAATTTTTATAATATAAAATAATATATAAAATTTTTTATATAATAAAATATAATATTATATAATAAAAATGTTAAATTTAAATGATAATAAATTAAGATATTTGAAATTATTATTATATTTTAATAGACACGTAACAATTTATAATCAATAAAATTAATAATATTCTTTATCAATCTGAAATTTCTGAATCAAAATTAGAAAAGAATCAGACAATATCATCAAATTATATCGACGTTATTATATAATAACATTGTGCATTACAATTTATATATCTCTTGATATTCCTAACTATATATTGACTGAAGTTGACTGAACTTACCAAAACATATTACTATCTATCGATAATTTCTATAGTTATTATTTTATTCACGAATGTTATGAATTACTATTCATAACAAAAATATGAATAAAAATTTGAAAATAGAAAAGACAAACACAAAAGGCAAAGAATGTTAATGTAATTAAATTTTGTAATAATAAAATACATATCTAATTAACAATAAAGTAAATTAACAAAAAGAGATAGAAACAAAATTAAAATTATTAGAAATATCTTTTTTTATTATGAATCAATAAATTTATAATTAAAAAATTATCGATCATTTTTTCTATCAATCTGGAAATATTTCCAGTGAAATCGAAGTCTAGAAATGTGTGTTAAAATTCAGAATTTCCAGATCAAAACCGGAGAAATCAAAATCTTAGTAATTTCTTATATATATATATATATTTGAATGTACTTTTAATTATATATTTTTATATAATCTACACTTTATGAATTTTTAAGGAAACTTTGTAATTATCTAATTATGCATGTAAATAACGGGAAAAAATAATTGAAGAAGTTTTTTGCGTCTTAATGACTTTGAAAAGAAAATAAAAAAAAAAATTAGTTTACGCTAAAGTAGCCAATTGTTTCACGGGCGTTGAAGATGGTATAATTATCATCCTCGTTAGCACAAATCTTCTTAGATATCTTTAAGATTGAATTCTGTTGTTAATTTTATTGTTATTATTATTATTATTATTTTATATATATATATTTGTTTATTTTAGCCTTCTCAACTTTCCAATGATATTCCACGAATATATAACCTCCATATAAATTTTGAATTGACTTTTTTACAATTATTGCTTATGTTTCATTGTTGTTTCTTACTTGCATTCGATATAACGATATATCGATATTAATAAATATCGATTTAATATCGATAATCGATAATCGCATATCTCTATCGCATATAATTCAATGGACAAAATTATCTCGGTCAATGTAAATCAATCTTTTTATACATACTTTACGTGTGCATGGAATCGATCGTCCATTCTCATCATTTATCGATCCACGGCCTTTCCGTGTCTCGATCCTTCTTTGTCCATATGTTTTTTAATTCGTAGAGCAACGACCATATTAACGGTCGTACAAGAAAAGAGGGTTGCCGAATAAAAATGTCAAAGAAAGAGGGACACTGCATTGTATGATGAGAAGAAGGCGTATTTTAAGGCGTTTTATAATTTTTATTTGTTTTATCTTATTTTAAAACGGTACAATATTTTGTTTAAAAAAGAATAAAATTTAAATTTAATCAATTTTTAAAAGAATAAAAATTATTAGATTGTTCTGCGAATTTTTTACTTTATTTTTTATTTATTAACTTTAATTCTTTTCCTTGTCAATTTGAGCACTATCTCGATTAATTTATTATTAATAATTTAAGATAAGAGATAAAAATATAACGAATTTCATATTTCATTTCTAAATTTATATATTATTTTTAACAGTCAAGCACTAAGTCATGCTACAAAATGATCGTTTTGATCATTCTGACATTATAAGAAACATATTATATTGGAGCATATTATTATATAGAGAATGAAACAGTAATATTTAAGTTGTTAAACAATTTTTTTTAAACAATTTTTTTAAAATTATAATTTTCATTTTATAAATTTTTATTTTGCGTAGTAATTTATAATAATACAATTCTTGTTTTTAATATAATATTTTTCTTATTTCTATGTAAAGATAAAAATTTTAGGAAAAAAATTGGATTAAAGTTAAAATAGATTAAAGAGAATTCACGAATATTTTTAATTTATTCATCTATATTGTAAATATTATTTTATATATTTATTTTAAATGTCAATAGATCTAAAAATACAAGACTAAACAAGAAAATATTATAATTGATAATGATAAAAAAAAAAAAGAATTAAAAGTATGTTTAAAAATATACTTAAAAAAATTAAAACATCCAAGCTTTTGGAAATATCTCAAAAGTTAATTTTATTATACACATTAAATCTAATCAATGTTAACATAATAGGTGATTTTTGATAGGTAGAAGAAAATTGAGTGAAATATAAATTCAGTATATCTTATCATTATTTAAGCATTCAGCAGAGCTCAAACCATATTGATCAATTCCAATGAAGTTGTTGATGTAGTGATCAATTTAATTTCTATGTTCAGTTCATTTATAAGTAATTCAGACATATAGAAGAATTTATAATTAATGAATAATTGGAAAAAAATCAGATTGAAAAGTTTCAAAGAAAATATCTTGACAACGAGAAATAATCGTTTACATATATATATATACACACATCTTTATAACTGCTTTCTGCTTTTCTAGCTGCTTTCACCGAGTACAATCGGTAGAACCGTTGTTTCACTACTTTCACGGTCGTACTTCTTCTTATCGAACTTTGTCCTTTTCCTTTCGATTTATCTTTCATCGATCATGCTCGCGATATTTATCCTTCTTTCAGGATAATCGAGACGTATTAAAATATCATTTTGTTATTTTTTTGTATTCTTTATTTTATATGTATATATAATCTCATTGAAACAATATTGATGACAATAGTTTTTATCAACGATAATTTTAATCGATGACAATATAATAAACCGGGAATAACATTGACCGATAACAACATGACCTCAAGAGTATAGGCCAAAATACTCTTAATATTATAATATCACATAGTATCCGAGTATATGAGTTATCTTCATCAATTCTTAGAATTGTTAGCTCGATTTAAACTTCAATATTATCTTTCAATTCGTATCGAGGTAATTTAAAACCAATATTGAATCATTGGAATAAGAAAAATATAATTTTTTATTATATTGTTGCAAGATGACTTTAATTAAATTATTAATATTTATAGGATTAAAACGATGTCAAATATTGCCTATATTTGCCTATATTATTTTAATAATTATTAATTTATTTAATCTATTTTTAACAATACTTTATAATTTATTTTTTAATTATTAAAAAAGTTATACTTGATTATAATATTAAAGTAGAAATATACTTTTTGTTACAAAATAATAAAATTAATAAAATTAAATTAAAACAAATAAAAGCTTTATTTAAAAATAATATATATTTTAATTTCAGTTACTGAAAAATAACTTGACTGTATCCAATTTAGTCTCACTTGCACTATTTACTTTTCTCTTACCCTTTATACAGACATGCCAGAATCAGATAATGTGTGCCAATTCTCGGAAATCTACCTTTTCACATATAGCATGCATACCATTAAGCCAATACGAAGATATTGGCCGTTATTATATTATCAAGACGAGCCAACTAGTTTTCTAAAAATTTGTAATTCGATTAATATTATCGTCGATCAATAATATCGATTAAAACCAGTGTCGACAAATTATTCCCAATGAAAATCACAAGGATACGTATCGATGGTTCTCAACACATCGACATACTTAACTACGATGTCCACGAAGAATATCTTATCTTTCGTGTTTTTCGCGTGGGCTGACATCTGTCTCAGAAAATAAGAACTTACCATACTTATAATTCAATTCTTCAATTATCAAGATATGATTCGAGAAAAATTGTAGAAAAAATTATG